CCTCCTTATAAATCAATTACCGAATGCTTAATGTTGAAGTCTAGGTGGTTTTCCAGATTGCCAACCACATATGAGAAGGACAAGATCTTTCAGTCCTTGCTGATACTGAAAACAGGAGACCGGATAGATTTAAGGAGTACTCTTTCATGCTTTCAAAAGCAAATTTCTTGACTTTTTTCAGAATTTTTTTAATATGTTTGGTCAATGGAATATTGCTTAGAAGAGTTAGATCTCCTTATATCCTGCAGTTAATTGTATTTTCTTTGTGCAGTTTCAAATTTATTTCATATTGAGAATTTCTGGAAGATAGTCTTAAAGGTTGGCCAAGCGTCCCCTCCCCTCTGTTCCCCATACAAATTAATTTTGTCTGTATATTAAATACTTTAAAAACATTTGACAAATTTGGACTTGTATTCATAGAGGCAAATTAACCTGAGATTCCAAGTTGGTTTGTAAAACCATAAATCATATCATCAGTTGCTGACTTGAGCCATTCCATGGGTCTTGGTTGCCTGTGAAAATGGTTTTCATTCCCTTCTCATGTGGGAACTGATGCAATTTTCCATGTGCTGGGGTAGATAAACCTTTGCTAGAGTTCAATTTGAGTATGCTACCAGCTGGATTAAGCATTCAGATATTACAGTCTGACTGCCTTGCAATTATTAAGGAAATATGTTTCTGTCATTTAGATATGACTCTTCAGTCCGAGACTGTGTGGAAAATTAGAAAATATTAGGCTCTGTTATTCTTTATTAGTAACACAGCTTACATATATTTGCTAAAATATAGTAAAAGGTAAGTAAGGTCAAGTCAGGTTGGGGCGCATGTACTGGAACAGGGTATCGCCGCACTCACCACATGACAAAACACCTCAGAATCTGGGCTGGTGAACCCCCAGCTTGCATGTGGTCCAGTCCCACCCTCTGGAAAGGGCCGTCTGTCTGCTGCAGCCAGGTGTTACAGTATGTGGGTGTCACCTTGGTCTGGTCCAGTCGCTCAGGTCCTCAGCAATGAGGACCTTGTGAGCAGGATCACCCTCAGGGAATCATGCCACATGGCTGTAGTGCCAAAACTGACGCTTCCTCACAATGCAGGTAATATGCCTCATTCAGGACTCCCTGAGCAACCGCTCGTTCAACACAAAGTCAAAACAGAGGTACCCAAGGATTCTCCAGAGACGGTACCAAAGGAGTCCTGCCTTCATCTCAGGTCACCGGATAGTGTCCATGTCTGGCAGCCATAGAGAAAGACAGGGAGCACCAGGATTCTAAAGACTTGGACCTTTGTCCTTTTACAAAGATATCGGGAGTGCCATAGATTCCTTTCCAGCAACCTCATGACCCTCTGTGCTCTCCCAGTCCGTCTGTCTGACTTCATAGGAAGAGTCACCAGAGACATGAATGTTGCTGCCGACGTTAGTAAACCTCTCAATGAGATCAACATTCTCCCTGCAGACAGACACACTGCTAACAGCTGTGCCCAGGAAGTCATTAAAGACCTGGATCTTCATTTTAATCCAGGACACTCACAATCCCAGACACTCAGACTCCTCGCTCAGTCTCTCGAGAGCCCTGATCACAGCCTCCATTGATTCTGTGAAGATCACAGCATCATTGGCAAAGTCAAAATCGGCAAATCTTTCCTGGTCAACAGATGCCCCTCAGCCATTGGACCCCATGACTCTGCCCAACACCCAGTCCATGCAAGCATTCAACAGTGTAGGAGCAAGATCACACCCCTGAAAAACCTCAGAGTCTGCTGGGAAGAGCACAGAGGTTCTGCCTACACTCTGCACAGCACTCACAGTACCAGTGTACAGGCCGGCCATGACGTCCAGCAACTTCAGGGGAATCCTGCAAAGGCTCAGTATGTTCCACAGGCCGGCTTGGTTGGCTGAGTAAGACACTTCACAAAAATAGAGAAAGGCAAAAGAAACCCTGTTGAAATTCATGTTTGTGCTCCATGAGAAGGTTCAATGCCAGGATGCAATCGATGGTAGACTTCTTAGGCATAAAACCAGACCACTCTGGTTGCTGGTACGTAAGCAGGTGATCACGGCTCTCCTATGGTTTTTATAATTTCATTTTAGTAACACATAATTTATTTTAATTACCCTCTTGCTTCTTTTTAATCTGTTGCTAATCTATATTACATTTCCTTTAATTTTTATTTTCTTATTTCTTGTATGCATGTTTTCATGTTATATAATTTTTTTGTTTATATATTTTACTATGTGTGCAGTATTTGTTAATCAGTTCTTTCTAGACTAGAACGCACGTTAGGCCAACTCCTGTTGTTTTTAAATGTGTTATACAAATGAATGACAGGCCTTGATGGTGCCTCACAAGAATGCAAATGCCCATATGGCTATATAGGGCAGATGGTAACCCTGACCAACATAAGTAGTTGCAAGAATCAATGGGTATGTGGCTTAAAGGTAATATTGCTAATAATATAAGATAAATAAGATTCCTTGTGAGACATTGGGAAGTAAAGCAATAGCAGGAGGAAATATTGTGTCCCCATGACAATTGGTTGTCTGCCTATAAGCACCTCAGCTAATGGAATTCAGCTTTGGGAGAATGTGGACACTTAGGTGATCTTAATCTGAACAACACGATGGCAGCAAACTCTCAAGGTTTCAAATGGGTGCTGGGTGTTCAAAAGTACCACATTACTTATGATCAATGGATGCCAAAAGTTCCTGGCAAACACTATGGGGTCTATCCTGGCATCAGGAACTTAAGTCAAAAAAAGTGCTTAAAAAGTTACATGCTTTTGAGTTATGTGTCTTCTCCCCCCCATCAGCTCAGTCACACCCACCATGCTTAACCCAAAAAAGAAGGTTCCTTTTTGACTTAAGTGCACTGGACAATAAACTCTTATGACGTTAATTATGTTATGACGTTTAATAATGTTGAAGGACAGGGCATCCACCCTAAATGCTGACTGTCTCTTCAGCTGGAATTACTGAGTAGAAAAACCTCACTAAAAATGCTTTAGAATTTCATTTATTTATTTTTACTTAACCTCTGATGTTCGATGTGTTGATGGCTGAATTCATATTGGGTCACAGTGAGATTTCAGATCTGTAGTACTAATGAAGCTGAGTAGATATCTGACCTTACGGGTGTTTTGGAACTAAGTGACACATTACTACTGACAAGTAAGCATGCATGACTGAAATTTGAAGATGCTAAACAGTTGGCATCTATTTCATTTAGAAAATGTACACATTTTTTGTGCTTATAATACACTTATGGTAGAATTGCAAAAGTTCACTTTGCAGATGTGTGCTAGAAAGAATATTCAGAGGTGACACCTGAACTATAACTATAAATAAATGTATTATTCACGAAAAAGGACATTGCTACAGGAAGGTCAGTGGTATTCACTGTGGGACATCTCTGTATATCACACTGGAATTGCAATTGTGATGATTTCCCCTCCATTTCAACATAAAAGAAACAGAACAATGGAAAAATGTTACTCAGAGTAATTTTGTCTTCTGAACACAGATGTACAAGATTATGAACCTCTGCTATCTATCAATTTACGATAACAGCAAACCGATAAATTGAGCTGTGTGCAAAGTGTTGTGATTTTCTCCATGTTCAGCTCCAACCCCAACCTCTGTACATGTTCCACTGCTATGCACATCATTTGAAGGTGGTGCGTGTTTTATGCTTCACAGATTTGTACAAATAATTTAAGACCTGGATCCTTTCTGGTAGAGTGGTGTCCAAGAAGTAACAATAGTCTTAACCAAGACAATAAAGACCCAGCTAGCCATCCTTTAAAGCCCACAACAGTGAAGTAGATGTCCTATTATTCCTGCTGCACTCTTGGAACAGAAAACATTAAATGCTCTCAGGTGAATGATTGGTCTTGATGAGAAAATAATGGGAGTGCCTTGTACTTTTTTGACAAAGCACGGCAACTTGCGTGGGTACCTGTGGATTATGGTCTCAGTTATCCACCTGGATGGTGGAGGTCAGTGGAAGAATTGCAGCCAATACTTGTCAGTGAGGGAGTGAGATGGGAATGGAATGATAAATAATGTAATATGTTAATATGGTGTGGATGAGCAATACTGACATTATATTTTACATGTCACTAGTTGTCACAAGAGACGATCATTTAAAAAATTAATAATTGTAAAAGAACATTATGTTTTTGCTGGAAGCCCTTATTGTTAGGGAACAAATTAGATTTGGTGATACAAAACATGTAATTTAAACAAGTCCACAAAAGCCCCATACACATATGAGAATGCAATCAGTAAAGCAACCTTTTATAAGTTACCCTACCTTTACACAAACATATATTTTCCTAATATGTTCTTGCTCTGCAGTAATGTTTTGGAAGTATTAACTTCAGACATGCATTTTTGAAATTAAATGAATACACCAATCAGCCAGAACATTAAAATCACCTGCCTAATATTGTGTAGGTCCTGCTTGTGCTACCAAAACAGGTCTGATCCATCGAAACATGGACTCCACAAGACCTCTGAAGGTGTCCGGTGGTATCTGGCACCAAGATGTTAGCAGCAGATCCTTTAAGTCGTTTAAGTTGCATGGTGGGGTCTCCATGGTTTTAATCTGTTTGCCCATCACATCCCCACAGATCGGATTGTGATCTGAGAATTTCAAGGTCAAGTCAACTCCTTGAACTGTTTTTCATGTTCATCAAAATAAAATTTATTCATTGCATTGAAGAAGGAGGAGGAATAAACTCATCTTCCTCCTCCTTCCTGCTTCTTCTTCCTTCTTTTTCCTTCTTCCTCATTCTCCTTCCTCCTACCCCACCTTCTTCCACCTTTCTCCTTCTTCTTCTTCCTCCTTCGTCCTACTCCTCCTTCTTCTTCTTCCTCCTCCTTCGTCCTACTCCTCCTCCTTCTTCTTCCTCCTTCTTCGTCCTACTCCTCCTCCTTCTTCTTCCTCCTTCTTTTTCGTCTTTCTTCTCCTTCCTCCTACTCCTCCTCCCTCTTCCTCCTTCTCCTTAGTCTTCCTCCTTCTTCTTCCTACTCCACCTTCATCATCCTCCTTTTTTTAAAATGGATAGCCTGAAACACTTTGACAGGCAAAATATCATAGTTTTACACCAACACAGATACCATTCAAACATCATTTTCATTGACTGCATAAAAATTTTGAAGTATTGTGATTGACATTTCTCCAGAATGTTCTGTCTTCTGTATGGTTCTACAGACTTCCCTGTGGTATGGCTATTGTTGTTATTAGTCTTGGAACAGTTGGTGAATTGACAAGTACGTGAAATTCTGCTTTATAGCGAATGGAAATTGGCAATAAAATTATATTTATATTATATTACACCAAACACCTTGGATATGTAGTAAATATCTTAATACTAACTATCAGTAAAAGTCATATTCCAGTGTCTAAAAGATGTGTTTTATTTTTCAATCTTTGTGCTGGAGACTGGGATATTGTACAATAAAGTGCTTTCAGGCAGTTTTTCTGGTTAATAAATGAACAGGACTGCTTTTGGACATCTTACGAAGAAGAACCATACCAGATCAGCAAATAAATAAATATATACTTTGTTGCGTTAACTAGTGACGGCATGTGACATTCTGTTTATCATTAGAAAGGCTGAAAGCAGCCGTGTCCCAGAACCATACTCACAGTTCCCCCAGACAGCTATACCTAATAGGCTTTGGCCTTTGTTCTTAGTGCTCAAAGTGAAATACTTGTACTGGGAGCCCCCAGAACATTCTATCAGCATTCAATGCACTTTCGGCGTGTTATCATTTACACTCAGGGCCACAACAAAAATTACGAGGTAATGCTTCTCTCTCTCCTGCACTACACACCGACGCTTGAATTGTTATTCTAATAAGAAGGATTCCATTTAAATCAATAAAAAATGCTCCCGGCTTTCTCCTTTCATCTTAGAAGGCTGGTGACAACACGAGAAGGACCAATAAAAAACACATGTTGCACTCGCAAGTAATTTTAATATCACTTGACATTTTAAAGGAAAGGGAAAATATCGGGGCTGGAATAGTCCTCTGTAAGAGGAAATCTGTCTTGATCTGCTGTATACTTTTGCACAGGGAATGAACTGCTGTAGCTGCATGATGCCAGTTATTCCAGGATTTATGGAAGTGGAGCATGGGGCTGGAAAAACACCTCTTTTTATGCTGATGCTGTTTTTTCAACCCTCATTTTTCCTTTCCTCACTCTTATATTGCCTTTTTATATCACTGCAACACGTTCTGAAATGTGTTGGGCTGCTGTCTTGAGTGTGTTTGGATTGGAAAGCCGGAGGCCTGCTCTCCTGCTGAGGATGAGTTAGCCAGAACATTCTTCAAAAGTCCCGTCCATTCAAGGGACCAGATAGAGGAGCTCTCTGATGTGGGCCATTATCGCAGTGATCATTTAGCAGATTGTCAATGCAAACGACGGCAGATGCACTTGGAAACATGGTATGCAGCAGATTCCTGAAAACTAATTGCTAATGTTATAAATATTAAAAACTGCCATCATTTCCTCACAGAGTACTGGTATTGTACTTCAGTTCATGTACAAAGGCTCTCAAATGAACTCCAGTTGTATTTATTGTGATACATTTACATATTAAAATGATCTATAAAACATTTAAAGTCTATATTTTGAAGACAATCTCTCATATATCAAGCCGAATTGTGCCAAATGTACTTTTTTACTTTTTACTTAACTTATAGCACTGTGGCAAATACACCTTGAAAGATGTGGCGGCAAATGTACAGCAATATAATTCTCACCTGCGTTCATTTACATAATTCAAAAGATTATTAAAAGTGAAAATTAACAGGCCATAAATTATTGACAGAACCATGTTACTTTGTACCCATCTCAGTAAATCCACTACTTACATAATTTTATAATGAGTTACTTCTGCAACAGCAAAAAAAATAACCCTGATGTATTATTAACAGCCTAAATGTCAGCCACTCTGTTGTGGTGTGAATGATACTGTGCAGAGTCCTCACCTGTGCACTGTCCTCCGAAGGGGTTACTTCTGCTGGAGCTTTTCCTTCAACCCAGTTAACCTGGCAATAATTCCCAGTGGGCTCCTCCCCTCAGCAGCTTCACCTTCTCCTCCATCCTTAAAATAAGGTAAACAGCAGAGCATCAATGACTCAAAAGAAGATGTTCTCACTACCGAAAGTAACTGTTTACTGAAATGATCATGTATCCTACAACATTCACGATGTTTTCTCAAGTGTTCGATAAATATTTAATATCTTTGTTTATTGATAATTTGTTACAACACACCGTTGGCTGTAAGTTTTAAACCGATATTACTAGCAAAATTCTTTTAATTTTAAAGTATATCACAGCTATGAGCCACATTAACAAAGTGTGAAAGACTGGGTGTGCAAAGACTCACTCCACTGATCTCAAGCAATTGTTTGCACTAGGGCTGTCAAAATTAATGGGTTAACGCAGATTAATCCATCATCATGATTAATCTGATTAAAATTTTTAACGCAATTAATCCATCTGCAGCGCAGAATGACTCAAAATCCCTGAAATGTCTCTGTCAACCCATTTCGGGCAGTTTTGGTGCATTCCATTTACCCTGGGAACTCTCGGAGCAGCACAGAGGATCCCCAGTTCAGAATCTGAGATGGCTGCGCCTCTTATCAACAGAAGGGAACGTTGTAGTTTTATACTGTTTAAGCACTACTTCTCATTTGTGGCTCATTAAATCGGTCGCACACGCTATACCGTCCAACTTATCTGTGGACGTGTTGCTACGGAGTTTTATACGTGAAGCACCGCGCGTAATGTGTTATCAAGCAATATTGCTAACAATGGCAATTAACCGGGGTAGAATTGGATTTCATGATTAGTCGGATTATTTGTCGGATTTACGGTAGTTCGGGCTAATTGTAAGTGAACGAAGATAAAGACCATTTAAACTGAGGTATCTTAAATACGACAAGTTGTCCGGCTAAGCAAAAAATCTTGCTTTTTGATATGGGTCCATGGTATTGCGCTTCTGTGGCAGATGGAATGCATCCGACTCGTGTTCAAGATGTTCAATAAACATCTTAAGTGTATTTATATTCCTTTTTTTCTTGAGTCTGTTTGCTCATGCAAGATGAATTGTGATTAATATAGATTAAAAATGAATGATATTTAATCATGATTAATCTAAATTAATCCACAGCAACCCTGTGATTAATCTGATTAAAAATTTTATTCGTTTGAGAGCACTAGTTTGCACATATAAACAATTTAGTTTCCTACAGAGAGCTACAAGAAGCAGCCTCTCACTGTAGCATGAAAGGACAGTTATTTCTGTTGTCGCATTACTGTAAAGACCTACAGATCTGCCTGTTTTTCCTCCCTGAAAAGCAGCATTGTAGGAACAGGGTAGCTTGTGCCTGGTTTGTGCCACTATAAACGAGGTGGTCATCAGGAGGTGGTCATCTGCTGGTTCTATAATCCTGGCACTTGGTAACATTTGTGCAAGGAGAACATAAGAAATCTACAAACGAGAGGAGGCCATTCGGCCCATCAAGCTCGTTTGATGAGAACTTAACTAATAGCTCAGAGTTGTTAAAATCTTATCTAGCTCTGATTTAAAGGAACCCAGGGTTTTAACTTGCACTACTTGAACAGGAAGACTATTCCATACAATACACGTTGTGTAAAGCCTGAGATCAATGCTTCTATTGACTTGTTTTGACTAGCTGTTAAGTTAGCCATAAGAAACATTCCAGTCCCGAATTGTTACTGTTTTATTTCGGCCTGTGTATGCAAAGCATATATATTTGTATGTTTGATGCATAGAATTGAGATGTAAATGTCAATAGTCTGCATTTTTGCATTTAAAAATTAATTTTGAGAAAATATTTAATAAATATGTTATTACAATTATTAAAGCTTACATAATGATGTTACAATACTAGATTGTTATGACAAATTACACAAAATATGGTGTTATGTCCTGACACACAGGCTAAATATGCTATAGCAGTTTAACAAAATTTTAAACATTATGAAGTTTATATTATTACTGAATTTAAGATTAATTTCCATACACAATAAATTTCACCACTTCCACTGCTATTACTTACAATGCAAATATCATTTCCATAGCAATAGGTATTACATTATAAAAGTTAAAGTAACTGCATTTTAAAAGTGTGCTATACATTTCATTACATTGAGGTTATACCATAGACTTGAATGTTGACTGGTTACGTAATTTCTGTGTACCTTGAAGAAGAAAAATGAATATTCACAAAGCCACGGTCATGGTTAATCAATACTTTTCAACTGTAAAGTGCTTAATTATAAGCTACCTTCTTTTACTAATTCCTGGAATGGAACGTCTGTGCTTCAGAGTGTGCAGCTCAACCTTAAGATACACTAGACGGGCATTCAAAGGAATCTGATGGGTGAGGCTCCTCAGTGCACCTTCAGCACTGCCAACAGCTCTAACAGGAACAATATCAATGAGGATTTTTCGGTGAACGTTTTTTCCGTGAACTCTTATCCGCCAAGCAGAGCCGACTTCAAAGGGTGTGATGCGGACAAAGTCAGAGCGACGCTACTGTGTTCTGGAGTTTTCCTGGTATTGGTTGGAACAACGTTTACAATAATGGGATGGATAAATTACGACGGAAGTAAGATTTTCGAATGGACACAGTTGCTCGGACCCGCTCTTCTATGTATCGGAGTAACCTTTATATTAATTGGTCTTTGCAAAATTAAGAATTTCCATTGCAAGTTTTGGAAAGTTAATGAAGAACAAGCGGTAGCTGATCAGATACCCCCCACACAGTCTTTTGTTTTTACCGGAATCAACCAACCCATTATGTTTCATGGTACAACAGTGGTCCAATATATTCCACCACCATGCGGCATTGTGACCAATGACCGTATCACGACGAACAATAATCAGTCCAGTGGGTTTGAGTTACACAGAGTCCCAACAACGTCACAGCCACCGCAATACTACACCATATACCCCTTGGATAATCCTATCTTTTCTGAAGATGATCCCTGCACACAAAGTCTTCGTGTGGACGACAGTGATATCAGGTACATGGAACATTACAGTGACCAGAATTGGAATATACTTTCGTTCTGCATTCATACTAACCCTGTGCAAAAACCTAGCTGAAATGAAGGGTTGAGATTTGTGTTTCTATAATAATTAGAGTTTTCAGAAACAAGTACAGTAAACCTTCAGTAAAGCAATACGCCTGCTGCTAATTTGATTGCCTAGCTTATTGATCATTTCAATTGGAAATTAAAATACATTAGTTAATATGTTTATTAGTTAATGATGTACTTGTTGAGAATGCAGTTTATGGTGGCTAATTTCAAAAAGTTTACATGTTTTCTGAAGTTCACAGAAGGGATTTTGGCCTGCTTTTGGTCATTAATGCCATCAGTAACCAGGCTTGGTATCCATTTTTACTGGGAAGACAGCACGCAGCTGCCTGATAATGCTAAACTGAATCCACAACAGGGACTGCGGCCCTGATGAACGGCCAGACTGGAAGATGACTGCTGATGAGATGCCAAATTGTTCTGCACCACCAGCATACGAAGACATCTTTCACACCGGAAGATACAGTTTTAGCCGTTCTTAAATTTGAAAATACCACAGAATTATATGCAAGGTAGCTATCAAGTTTAATTATTATCATAGAGAAGTAAAATATTTACATTGGTAATAATATAGAGGAGAGCTTTGTGTACATTTAACAGGTGCAGAAGAGTCAAAATTTAAATAACCTTGTTTAAGATGTTATATATACATCAAATTAATATGTATATCATTTGTTAGTAATAACCTGAGGGGCCAATATAACGCTGTCCGTGGTGCTGGAGAGGGGTCTGCTTCCTCATACGCCACTAAACATCAACGTCATTCATGACTATTAACAGTGATTCCTGATTCGTTTATAAGAAGAGTGGTTTTATTTGAAGAAAGGATAGAGTTGACTTCTTCAACTACCTCTGTTAGTGTAGAATGGGAGACATCCTTTGTCTGACCCAGGCTGACAATGTTCACTGTGAATTTATTGTTATGGAGGACTGAATTATAAAGTCATATAATACTGACCAAATGCAATATAAAAGGATGGAGAATAAAAATGTCATATGTCTGCTACAGTCTTAATATACAGACGTAATGTGTAATATGTTAATAGATATATAAACTTGATTTATAGTACAGTAGCCATTTAAGGGAAATTTGAATATTTTATTGACTTGACAAATATTGCCTTTTCATAACATATACAACCTCACAAGTAGGCTACGAGTGTCAGTAGGGTAAATAAAATGTGCAAAATGAAAATCGTTACATTTTTTGACCATGGTCTGTTGAATTAGATGTATTATATACACTGTATATTAATTTATTTCTCTACCTAATTGTTTAGCTGATTTGAAATTACTTAAAGTGTAGCTTAAGCACTCTTTCTGCATTTAATACATTGTTCGAACGCAGACTTACATGTCCAGGTTCGTGTTGAAAGCCATGAAAAGGGAAGTACAACACAACACAACACAACACAGAGGGTAATACATGTCACACCTGGCTACCAAAGCGACTTCAAACTCACTGAAAGTTACAGGTCGTTGTAGCGTCCATGGGTCTCAGGAGAATTCAAATTCTTTTTCATATATTTCGGAGAAAAATAAGTCACACGTTTTAAAGTTTCTACATTTAAAGTAAGAGATATCTGTAACTCATGGGTCCTAACTGTTCAACAAGATTGTTTTAAATAAAAGATGAATGACTCATTCGGACTGTTTCTACTCCATGCTCCTGAGATTCTTCAGCTCCTGTGTTTTTGTTCTCTTTTGTCTTTTAGGTAATTTGTCTTTCATAGCCGCTTGACTACAGACCCCATTCTGTAAATCATCATGTTACAGGCCAAGCCAGAGCCTTCACTCCGCGGGGGCCAACTGTTTTCTTGAACGTATTGCTTTCTTTGTTTAGTTTTTCTTGATTGATGCATGTTTTTTTCCCCCCTAATACCCTTATTCCTGTATTAGATGGTCTTCACGTTTATTGCCTACCAAGATTGGTAACCATTTTATTTAGATGGAAATCCCAACATAATTGCATGCAATTGGACTAAGCACCAAACCTGACATTGCATAAGGGTAAGGGGATATATCTGGCAGGTAAGATATTTGTCTTTTTTACCTGTTGGACATATTTGTAAAATATGTTTTTTATATAGGACGCTGGAAAAATGCTCGGCCTGTCCTCGAATTCCTGCATTGTGTATCAATAACATAAGCCATTAGTTCCCAGTAGCTTAACTGCATTAGCAAAAATGCAGATTGAGGTTTACTCCTACATACGCTGACGTAGTTCAGGGCCCAGAAGATGCCATCACATTCAGAGTTTTAAAATCTGAAGAGATTTTTTGATATATTTATTTTTTTTAAGTTGGAATTGTAACAATGATTAGCCTACTTACCTCAAGAACTTTTGGTTATAGTGAGGGAAGAAAAAACAAAGACCTGCCTCTTTTCCACAAAATTCCAAATGTTCCCAAAATATTCAACCAAAATGGCCGAATCTATGTTAAGTGATGGAAGTGATAATAATTTATAATTGAAAAAGTAATATGTATGAGTTTATGTCAGCTGTCTGTATTTTGCAGAAATTAATGCAATTTTAATGCAGATATGAAATGCTATCTTTTCTTAATCTCAGGGTGTTACTGGCAGATAAACCTAGTTATTTTCACCAAGAAATGTAGGTTTATATATTTTTAAAACAATTTTTTAAAACATTTCAGCCATATTATGTTAACTGCATCTTAATTCACATATCAGTGGAATATTTATATATATATCGCGTTTCAGCTGTAATTGAATGAATGTAAACTTTTGTATGCAAGGTGTAGCATATAGGCCTGAATTTGTATTTGATATTTGACATTAAACTCAGTTGTTTGTGTATAAAGGTGAAAACAAATGATCAAAAAGTGACATGACAAAAGTGATTTAAAATTTATATCTCCTACATGGATACCTTTGAAAGTCATTCTTGGAAAAAATAGATTGTATTAGTATTACAGGTGTGTAAGAGTCAGTTTATTACCTACTGCATAGAAGGTTAACTTGCAACCTCAATGTTCCATCAATACCCCAGATGTAGTACCCTTGAGGACGGTATTCAAGCTGTATTATAAAATATCCAGCTTTGTACATATGTAAAAGTCAGCAAAAATGATTATGCATAGCTGTATACATTACGACAATTCAGGTAGCAACTGACGATGCTAAAGTGGCCTACTACACTATAGAAACGGTCCATTTTTTCAGAATTTCAGAAGGTAACGCAATAATCACGGCAATTAATACTGGTGGCATAGGTAACTATTAAATTCGGATTATACACCATGAGTTTCTTTTACTATTTTTCAAGCAATCTTACTGTTTAATTTCTCGATATATATCGTTAAAAACTACATTCTAGAACTGAAAAGTGTGCATCTTTAACCAAGTCGTTACGATGAAAACGAACCTATCACATGTATAGCCTAGTTCTAGTAATAACGCCTATAGTTTTACAGAAGCATTCTAACCATTAAACACAACTGATAAAAGCGCCAAACCTTTCCCTTAAGAATTTCTTTAAAGTAATGTAATGAATCTAAAATCAGAATTTAAATATGTTACAAAAAAAGTGTCTTATTATTTTCCCCGTAGGATGTTGAGAGGACTCGACGACGATCTAGAGAAGACCACATGGGGGCAGAAAGAGTGTGTAGGAATCAGGAACGGGAGCAGCTTTAGCTGAGTAACTACTAAAAATTAAGACAGGGTACATTTAAATATTTGTTGGATTTAACACATATTTAGTGACATATCACCTTCCGTATCTTTCTATCAATTTAAAAGATGTAAATAAATTCTAACGCACGAGTAGTGTTCGTGGATTGAAATGAATGCATTTTTAAACTAACATAGAGAAGTTACACTTGATGTAGCCTACAAACAAACGTGTGACTAAATATACGTAAATACATTCTCTTATATTCCAAAAAAACTGTATTATGTGTAAAATATTAAAAGTAACAAATAATTTCCCGAAAAGACCTTTTGAACAGATATATAGGCGTATATATAGGCTCATGCTAAAGCCGTTTTCAATTATTAACAAGTGAACGTGAAAACTTTACGAATTTAGAATTTGGTCAAAGAACACTTAATGCAAATTTTGTTAGAGTGTTAGTCAAAGCTCAGAACACACTTGTTAGTTGGAATGATCCAGGACAGAATCCGGGAGAATCTATAAACATCTGCAGCAAACAACAGCCTGGTACCTCTGCAGAAAATAAAATATACCCTCCTTTGGGGTAAAATACTTTTCAACTAGGCCTATCTAAAAAAAAGTTGCAATTTAATTTCATTGTGTGATATAAGAATATGTAATTAATGTATGTTTAAATAAAATACGGTGTCATTAGAGACAGGCTTTGACAAATTAATAAATATCATGATAAATAATTAATTCGGTGGCATAGGACTAAATAAGACTCCGGTGTAACTCACGGTAAATGCACGGAAAATCGACGCAAACATTCTTCTGTCACCTGTCGCACAAACAGCAAAACATGAATAGGCCTACTCATCAATGAGTAAAAACGACACAACATTATTATTATTATTATTATTATTATTATTCATTTATGATTAGTTAACTGCATTTGTTTAGGAAAAATAGGCCTACCGTAATTTAAAAAGGTCGATTAAAAAATGCACAGTTTTTTTTACATGTATGCTATTATTAAGAAGCTGAATTGACAAGTGTAAATTCCTTTTTAGAAAACAATTTTAACACTGTTCCATAACCTTGGTCTTTGCCTTTATATTTAAACCACAGCACAATGTGATATTCATTAATTTTATTACACAATAAAATGCGGGTGGCCGACAAAGCTCATTATTTTAACATTTGTAGTGCTTGCGTCCCTTTTTGAAAGCATTACGGAATACGTGAAACATTTAAATAACCTTTAAATTTTTCGTTGGTGCAAATATATTCCTAACGTGTATGCCACAGTAATCAAAAGAACACTCAAACTGACTACAAGCGTTCAATCAGCGTATGTGAACTATCGATTAAATACTTTCCAGAAACCCACAAACTAAAGAACATTCAACAACAGTTCAAATCAAAGATCGATAGTAAGATATGAAAAAATGGTCGTTGGAACTGACATATAAATTGCAGTTTTCTTAAACAAATATGGTTCCTGAGCTTTTTCTTGCAAAATTATTTCTAGGTTAGTAAAAAAGCAACTGGTGTTATATATTTCATTATGCTGTAGCTCGAAATTCTTGTCTTGTATAGTGTAATAAAAGCACACTGGTAGATTGTGATCTACAGAGTGATAGGTGCACATATTTCAAATGGAAAAATGTATTCATATAAAAGAGAATTATAGGCCTACAGTCTGCATATATTTGAGATTAATGAAACATTTGCACATGTGTGTGTCTATATATATATATACACACATACATATATACTTACACATGCACACACTTATTACATGAGGCACAAACTAGCCTTCCTACCATTTTCTGTAATTATCTTTCTTTAATTTATCAAAATGGAAAGTGGTCGTGGCAGCTGACTTTTATATTTTTGTCCATGAGTCAGACACGTCTATTTTTAGAGCATCTGCTGAAAGTTGGTGTTTTCAGATAAGTTCCTGACACAATATCAAAGATCACCGCCGCAGAGGTTGAGATCCGTGCCAAAGCCCCCCCACCCCAAACTGTATAGGAAAAAAGTGTAAGGGGAGGGCAGGAGGGGGGTCAAAATGGATCCCATATTTGGAGGAAAACACACAGGAGGCACATGCAATCTTTGTTGTTTATGAATAACATGTGAAAACCGTCAAACCTAAATTATCTTTTGCTTGTTCCAGCTCTGTCGTCTGCGACTAAGGCTTTTGCCAAGAGTATCGCCGCCCAGTGAGAGATGGGCTGGTGGCGCAGTATTGGAAAGAGCTTCATCATAAACTCCCAGACGATCAGATCAATATGGCCTTGCATCCCTGGACCCTTGGGCAGGAAATGATTCACAGATCTGCTTAGCATTAGCACTCATTTGCATGCTGCCTTTCAGTTGGAACAGAACCACAAAAGGATTTATACACAGAGCCGGGAAGCGGATGATGGGGGCACGCTTACTGTTTTCTTTAGATATAGCCACGCTTTGCAGAACGGCCATATTCCAAACTGTGAACTTGCTCGATGATTATGTGCCAGGCTGGTTCTCTTTAGAGGAATAAATAAAATGATGTCAAACAGTTTACGTATGTTTGTTCTTCACAGTGGATTTATCTATCATACTGTAGCATTAAACGAGTAGAGGGGAGGAAAGAGTTCCTGTTGATGCCATTCCTTTGTTTGGAATAGAACCTCAAAACAACTACAGAGCTACAGGGCATGGAGATTTTGTCAATAACACATGCTGAGGTGTAGGGTGAATAATTATTTAGGTCAAGCTTTCATTAAAATCAATTAAAATACCAAATGTTTATTTGATGTTAAGTGTCACATCCTTTAAAAAGTAACCCACCTAAAAATGAAGCAGTTATCTCTGCCCTGGTAACACTTTACTTAACGGGGCAAAAATAATATAGTATTATGCTATTACTTATGTATTAATTAATCTCAAACTGTTACATATTGATCTCACGTTAACTCATCAGTAATGAATCATTACGCATGTTTTTATCTCAAGCAATTACTATATCTGTTAATTCTGTAAGCCTTTGTGAACTATTGAAGGAACTACTGAAGGAACAAGTCATGAATGACACGTTAAATACCGATCTCATGTTTGTTCATCATTAATGAATCATGATGACTCTTCCATCCCAAGCAGTTACTATATTTGTTACTATATCTGTTAATTCTGTAAACCTTTATGAACTACCGAAGGAACTACTGAAGGAATAAGTAATGAATATCACAAGTATCACATATGACCTGTCAAGTAAAATATTACCCTCTCCTTTTAGACCAACCTGAATTAGCACAAACAATGCTGGCTTTTTGTAAGTATTATCTGTGGTGTTTGTTGAAGGCATTGGCATAAGTATGTTAAATACATAAAAGTTGTTAAAAGGAATATTAACAATTGCCATAAACATACACTGTTAAATGGGCTATAAACCAAGTCAAGTTTGGTGAATAAATAACTAAATACCTTTGTAACTACCTCTGGACAGAAGTTATGAGTCATGGAAGTAGAGGCTAGACTCTCCCAATTCTTGATTGTTAACCAAATCCCTTTCCAGGTTAATTATCATAACTACATTCACCTGACACTTTTGTCCAAAGCAACTTGCAGTAGAGTAAAGAGTCACATGGAATTTATTTCCAAAAGACAAATCTAACTCTCTAAGTTGTTAGTCACGCGTAATGTAGGTCTAATAAATGAAAATTCAGAATCTCAAGTTGTATAGTCTGCATGGAAAATAAATGAACCATACAAGACAATCGTAAGCTGGAACAAATGCACTCGAAAAAGAACTAGGTTTCCAAATTCTACAAAGAGGCACAGGGTTTTAAACATCGAAACAGGTGACTAGACACAGGTTATCCTGAGGTAGGGGGTGGGACATTGTAAGTGGGCGAGGCCGGATTATGCGAGGGTGTGACAAACAGACATGAACGAGACGGGGACAGTGCCGTATTGTGGAAATGTACAGGGCTAACGTCCGACAAACTACTCGTATGACAAGGAAAAGGCGGTGCCATCGGTGCCCGGATGTAGCCCCTTGGTGTGACTTACAGAAATAGCTGTATTGTATGGATATCTTAATAAAAGAACAAGTGCAGTCGTGTAAAATTGAAAAATGTAAAATTCTCGAATTATTCCGAAAACAGCTACATTTAAACGGATATATCAACAATGTATCCTAAATTAAAGACTATTTTCTGATTAATCAGTAATTAGGCTAATATGTGGTTTAAATACCGATGATATTGGCCTATTAGTAGGCCTAATTCTTAATATTCTTCCGGGGGCAGATAGTTTTTTAAGTAAGTAGGCTATTCAAGAGATCCTTCCAAGTATGAAATTACATGTAGATCACGAAATATTGTTCATATAGTCTAACAATCACCTACCCTATACTTACCTTAAAAATGACAATTTACTTTCGAAACGTAGGTATATTAATTTTCATCATCCGAAATTACATCCTTCGGGCCCGACAAATAGATTTACAGCGCAAATGGATAAGAAGCGGCAAACCGCCTTACTCGATCATTCTTTTTAATTTAAGTTCCGGTTCATATCCACGAAAACCCCGTTGGGGATTATTTTTTTTGCTCTTGCTAAGCGCTTGATCAGAAGTTTGTGGTTAACGCAATGCCTGATAAATCCATTTGGGCTGTGTGTCATGTTCTTATCCCAGTTGGAATCATTAGTGCATTCGCTGATGAAACATATTCAAAAGTTTCATTTTGGGGAATTTTATTTTCTGGTTAAAATGGACAACAGGTGTTTCTGCCATTCTTCTCAAGAGAAAAAAAACGAATGTTTTAGTTATAAACTCACATCTATTTTTACGTAAGCAAACGACTTCCTAATGGTCACTTGAGAAGATCAGTGACATTTAGGAATTAATTACGTGTCTTGAAAAGGAATTACTGGAAAACATACAGTAGAAGTAAGTTTAGGGGCGGCGTGGCACGTGTTTTAAGACGTATGATTGACTGAAAGTCTCTTAGGGGATTTTTGAGGCTGAGTCCGGTTATTCAACTTTATTAAATGAAACTTTTTTGTTCCGTTAAAGACGAACGGAAACGTGTACATGAACTCAGTACTCTGCTTATAAATCACAAATGATTTCTTTTGGTGAAGTACCTTATAAGTGTAGGTAAACAGGTTTATTCAGATACTAATCATGAATTTGGGAATATGGTTCCCTATAAATTTTCCCATCATAGTTCCTTCATTCTTTCTCTATAATGGTTTTAAACATTTCTGCAAAAATTCACCTCTTGTCTGAATGGACTTTGTGACAGCGATCTTCTCACATAATTCACAAACTTGTGAAGTAACTTAACAAATACTGTAAATGTGTGTGTGGAAAGAACCCATATGTTCTAGTCACCATCAGTGGAAAACATTTAGAAATTACTCATGCTGTGACTCCCTTACCGTGGAATTTGAATCTGATATTACGTAAAATAAACCAAAATAATCGTTTAAACTCGTCAGTCTGCCAATTGATTCAAGAAGGGGGAATGGAACAAAATCACATGCCATGTAGCACTTCCAAAGATTACAATTCAAAATTAATATAAACATCCGCAGCCGGAAAATATCTTAGCTTCAAAAAATTCAAGTTTTGAATCATAATTTCATTATTATATTTTAATTTGTAACACAACATTAACTTTACTCTCTGTAAACACTGTATCCAAGGAGAACAGTTAAATGAGTCTTGTTGAACAACACCACATTGGAATTAAATCTCATATTAGTCTTTAGGCATTTTTGTTAGGGAAACTTCTATGTTGCCAGCTTAAAGTTTTTTTAGGATTGTGGTTATTTATTGTTAAATTAATATCAGTAGCATGGTTGAATTAGAAAGCTGTCGTAAGTTGAATGCAGGCAGAAAAACAGAAGTTATTTTTCACTGTGAACCCTGACATGTGGTCCTAGTTTGGCTTAGAACTCCGAATCTTATGCACAACCTTTGCCCTCTTTTGGGCCTAACATGATTTCGGTTCAGCCATGTTCTGAGTTCCGTTTGAACCCGAGACCCTGAGGTGAAAGGTCACTGCTACAGCACCGCAAATTAATCCAATGCGTCAAATTTGGCATGTTGAGTCTCAGTTTCTCGTGAAATGTTCTCTTTCCAACGAATGCTACTTCTGTCTGCATGTTTTCCCATGTTAGCATATTAATGCTACGTTTCCTTCACTTTTCTGCCAAAGCCCCAGTGCTTCCACTGACACCGGTGTCTCCCTAAACCCTACCCCCCCCCCCCCCCCCCCCCCCCCCCCCCCAACCCCCATGCTGCAGCAGAGCCCCCTCTCTCTTCGTATTGTGTTTAAAGACGTTTCAGTTCAGCTGTCACAAATTATGTTTGCCTGCCCAGCTGTCAAAACAGGGGGTGTCTCTTTCATTCCACCTCACATACTACCAAAGGGATGGGGGCTTTAATGCTTATGTTTGGACACAAGCAATTATCTCTAATTATTGTTTTTCTTTTCAGTTTCCCTGTCCTGATGGAGGTCCAACAGACGAACATGCAATAATCCGGCCCAGTCGGCTGATCTCAGTAGGTTTTGCTGGGGTAACCTAGCAAGAGTCTGCATGGCTTTCATCTCAATGTGAGTTTAGGTTTGATTCAAACTCAGAGCGATGGGTGAATTAACCCCTGAGACCCAGCTTTCAATGGGCTCAGCCAAGAGATTATACGTGTTGATGGCAGGCTTTTATTTGCAAAGTACTTTCAAAGAAACTACAGCTGGTAATTCAAGGCACTGTAGCCATGACCCCCTTCAATCTCCTCAGTGCAGAACAATACAGATGATATCTCATTTTTGCACCGCAATACTTCACAGTAACAAGCCCTGGTCCTATCACAGTCCTGGGATTTCATTACAGAAGAAGAGTCAAACCATAGGTCATTCACCTTTGCAACTATTGGATATGCCTCAATGTCCTACTGCCCAAAAATATAAGTAAGTGTTTTTTCCTCATGAAAAGCTCTGACAGAGTGATCTTCACTTTGCCAAAATAGTGTGGTATGTATTTTATATTATGTTACCATTGTCACTGTTGTATATTAACAGAACATGGCTCATAGAGGAAAGAAAATGTTACAAACGAGGGTATGTTTCACCCCCCACCCTTACCGGTGGAACACTATTGATCTGAGAACTTTTTATACACATCTTTGGTGGTCTCAACGCAACATGCTTCTAAAGCATGAAGAAAGTCCTTTCGTGCAGACTAGTTCAAGATGTTGTGTAGCTGAGGGATATTTTGGCAGAACAAATGACCTAGTATCAGACGTTTCTCAAGCCTAACACTTGATTTGATCTGTGTAGAAGAGCAGTGAAATATAATCTGAAATAAAAGATTGCATTGAACCCAGTGTAGGGAAAACAGGTTTATTCTATTGTTCTTTAGTACACTCATAATAAACATGTAATTTAATAATAGGCCTTTCTTTCTACTTACTACCTTCCAATTGTGTTTGTATTTGTCACTTTATACTTTCCAGTAATATAAGATAATACTTTCTTTAACCGGCAATGGGAAGGGAGGTATTATCCAGTATTATGTAAGAGCCTTAGTTGTGATTACAGGTCAGCTGTCCTCGTAAAATATATGTTAGTAAATGGAATAATACATTCATAGCTGACCTGTTAGCTGAGGAAATCACTTGTCATACAGTAAGAGAATTTACACCTTTGACAGGAAGTATGACAATTTGTCATGTTGAGTCATATAGATTTAATGGTGTGGTTCACTGTTTATCTACATATATATATATATATATATATATATATATAATTAAAGAAAAACATGCTATGCCTGTTATTCAGAGTAACATTGCAGCTGTGGGTCTCAGTCTAAGAAAGTAGAGTATATTACTTGAAAAGACAAGGGTTATACAGGGAGTACCTCATTAATGACTGATGTCCATGGTCAATGGAGAGAGACCCAATTACTTCAGGCTCCTTCCTAAGCACTACACGCTTTTCTAAAGGGACCATTTAGCACGGAGACAATGGGGTGGAAGCAGCACTGAGGTTTTAGCTCTTCCATAAAGAGTGAATTACTGACACAGCTAAATCTTTGATTCTAACTGATGCATAATGTATTCATCATTTTACTTACTACATGCAGTACATCCACTTCCCTGCCTGATGCATTATTACTGTCACAAAGTAAAATTGGAATATTGATTAAATATAGATTTATTCGTCAACACATGTAGCAAACTGTAGACCATACATAATTGTATTTCTTGTGCAGATTTATCGATGTCTTTTTTTCATGGTTTATTCTGCTGAGCTCAAGTAAGCTGTCTCATATAAACACACAGGCTTCTCCTGTTGTAGCTCAGAACAATCTCTTGTGTTCGTATTGTCACCCTCCATTGGTTTGGCTGGTTTGTAACATGGCTTTGCTTTGTCCACTCTCTTGGTTCCTGACCCTTCGTCATCAAGCTCTTCAGAGGGTGAGACCTCTTTCTCTGGGGACTCAGCTTCTGGGGACCCATCCAGTCCATTGTCCAGCTCCACTGAGAATGTCAGACTGAGCATCTCTTTTGTCTGGCCCCACCTCTGTGTGTAATCCCTCTGTCTCTGGCAATGTGAAGAGATTAACTGGTAAATGAAGGGATGATCCATGTGTCCAGCTAGTTGATCTGCGGCAGGGGCATGTCACTGCGGCCGGCCACCCATCTTCACCTTCCACCTCAACCCTTACTCCCTGCTTGCATTCCAACTATGGCCTTCAGATTATTCAACGTTAAAAAAAAACGACTCGTCGTCTAGCTGCACTGCATCACGAAAATGCTCAAACAATGGTTTGTTTTCTCCTCGGCCAATAGGAACTTCTGATGGATGAACTTGTTTTTTAAGTTTCATAATTCTGATGGAGAGATTTGCAATGCATGGATGTGTGGCTGTATGTCAGAGGAGTTAGAGGCAGTAAGAGAAATCTGATGGTCCTGTCAGTGTGCTTGTTGTGTGATGGGACATTGTACAAGAGAAAAATTGAGTAAAAAAGATCTTGTCCTAAGTCATTGTTCATGGTATGCTTTGAGCAATGAAAGTATGTCTAATATTGCCTATTATCTATTGTTCTGTTAAGGATGCGATAAATCCAGGACATAATCTATTAATAAGCTGCATATCTAATACATAGTCAACTTTTGTAATACTCAGTACTTTAATGTTCTTTATAATCCACTGTACTTTTCCTTAAGAGCTAGTATTATCTTTGGCTCAGTTGACATAATGTGAACGCTACATGCTTTTAATGACCTTTAATAAGTTACGTGGTCAGTCCAGCAGATGGTGCCAGTTACTAATTAAAACTGTCAATATTATCAAATATTAAAAATACCTTATCAATATTTGCCTAACATACTTGAGGATGCTGATTTTATAATCTTTTGACTGTGACATATGGAAATGAGACAATATACGAATAAAAACTGAACTTCATTTTTATTACATAATGACATTATCGCACATCATTAAGAAATGGACCGCAGAAGGAACC